GCGCATGAAGTCGGAGGCACTAGTATGAGTATGGATCGAACATCACGTCGATCGCCGCTCGTCCTGGCCGCCTCCGCTGGGTGTTCTCGTGCGCCTACTCGGCAAAACGCTCGGCCGCCCGCTCTGGGGCGTTAGGAACCCACGTGCTTTCACGTGCCAAGGCCACCGAGGGACGGATATCTAACATGTGGTCGTGAAAAACACGAGGTTCCAGCGCGGGGCAGTCATATTGGATACCGCCCTGGGTGGCCTGGACACCTAAAAACACGTGGCTCCTGGTCGGGATCACCATGTTAGATACCCCCTTTTTGGGTGTCCTGGACACGTAAGAACACCTGGCTCCACCCCGTGACCACCATGTTAAATATCCAATTGGGTGGTTTGGACACGACACGTGAAAACACGTGGGTCCAGCTCGGGACAGGCCTCGGAAGAAATTAGTCAACACTCATGCTGCATTCATATGTCAATACCCTCCCCCATTGATCAATGTTGACGGTGAGTTGAATGAGCTGCACTTCGACCGCCGTCTTCTCCGCGCGTGCCAACTTTTAGCTCGGGGGGGCGCGGGAGTGTCCACAAATTGTTTCCCTCTACTGGGTCACTATGTTAAAAAACAATGGAAAATCTGCGAAATCAACAGTCGACAAAACTGTGTCAGGTCAGTCCAGATCGGGTGTCGATGTATTGATTTTGTCTGGCTCTTGCGGGCCCAATACTGCGACCGTGGTGGATACCCCTCTGGGTGGCCTGGACACGAGGAACCACATAGTCCCAGCTCGGTGCAACAATGTTTGGTACCCTTCTGGGTGCCCCGTGCACGTGAAAACACGCGGTTCAAGCTCGGAGCCACCCTGGAAGATACCTCTCTGAGCGGCACATGCAAACACATGGTTCCAGCGAGGGGCAAGAAGCAACCATCTTCGACACCCCCCCCGCCTGAACAGAAAAACCATGGCTCCAGCCTGGGACCACCATGGTTTTTCGGTTGGGGGGCAAGAGATGGGAGCGGACAGCGATACGATGCACGATAACTATCACGCACGCGCAGGCTGGACCAGACAAATCCTGCCCCCTGATGGGATGCACAGAGACATACTAATACTATGTGTCCGCCTTGGAGGCGCGCGTCCGACCCGAACATATAGTATACCCATCTTGTAGTATATCGTTTCTCGAGCGGTGTGGCCAGAAAGCGCCCGCCACGACGCATATACTAGAAGATTTCTCGGTGCGCGCGTCGCCCCTGGGGGGGCGACGCACATATAGTATAAGTATGTTGGGGTGTTGCCGACCTGAACCGACGGACGCAGACGCAAACAAAAGGAGCCAACTGTGACAACGTTTGCCCAGGTACGGGCTGGAGGAAAGCAAGTCAACAGGGCGGAAATCCGGGCTGTTATAACAATACGAGTTCAATCCCAAAACGCATCGGCGCCGCGCCGGGAGCGAGGACAGGCCAAGGGAGGAAGAGGAACAACAAGAAGAGGAAGAGGCGGGGGAACGGGCAGCGTGGCTGTCAAAGAAAAAGAAGCGAAAGCGGGTGAAAACACGTTGTGTAATGGAGCCAGTCCAAGCGGCCACCTCCATAAATTCAACATTTAACCGGCTGTGCGAATGTATCCCCCGGGGCCCAGGCGGCCAGCGATATCCCATACAAACGAACTCCCACGGCACTGCGCGGCTCTGCGGCGGTGATACTAAACGTAAGCAACAGCAGCGGAGCGGCGGCGGCAGCGCGGGGAAACAAGTTGAGGAGGAGAGAGGGACTACTGCGTCGGAGCCAAGGCACGAGCGACGCAAGCCGTCGCAGCACCACGTCCGCCAACAATCTCTTTGGCCGTAGGGGCAAGAGCCAGCCAAGCAAGCGGGCCGACGCCTCCCGGAGCGCCTGTGGCGGCAATACGCCATGTAGACGGCCGCGAGGCGGATGCTCTTCCTCGCCAGCAGATCGCGAACTCCCGTGGAATAGCGCGGCACTAAAATCAGAAAGTCCCCCACTGCTCCCGGGCCCGCTGGCGCGTCGAGGCGGAGGAAGCGGGCGCCGAACTCGCGGACGACCGAGCAGCAGGCGCACTGCGCGATGCTGTCCTCGCACTGGCACCCGAAGACGCATCGACCTTGCTCTTGAAATCGGCGGCGCGTGGCCCAACCACTCCAACATGCGCGCAGGACTGCGGCCCGCGCCCGCGCCAGGAGGTAAGAACTCAAAGACGGCAACGCCAGCAGCGCACGGAAAGCGCGGACCCGCTCGAATAAAGTCATGTCAGACCGTGCCAACCGCCGCCGCTTGAATACCTCAAGGGTGGCACGGGCCGGAGGTTCAACACTGGCCCTGCACGTCCTCTGCCACTGGCGCCGGAGTGTGATGAGCTCTTCTAGGGCACCAGAGCCAGCACGCCCTAGGATGCGCCCTTGGATCCGTTCGGCCCCGAAGCCGGCCTCCGCGCAGTGATTGGCGGCAGAGTCCAACTGAAGAGCGAAAGCAGATGCGAACTACGACGCCATGACGCGCAGGCGCTCCACTTGGTTCGATCGAGCGGCAGCTGCGCGAAGCTTTCTCGCGCGGGTCGGGTGCGGATCGCGAGGCCGCCATGGAGCCTGTTCTCGAACGTGGCGACCCAACGCTTGGCTGCAAGCGCGCACGCGTCGAGGTCAACCAGCCCGCCCTGGAAGCCGAGATGCGGCAGGGCCCGCAGGGCGCTGACCCTGGCCCAACACCGCGGACCTGGGAACAGCTTGGGGCCGCGGTCTGCTCGACGCGGGCCCATTCGGGCGGAGGGGCGTCCAGCTGGGCGACGAAGAGTACGGTGGAAAAGATGCACGTGCGGTGCGCCAGCAAAGTTAGCTGTAGTCCACAACCCACTTTTCTGCAAGCAGCGGCGCGCTGTCGGCATTTCTCCAGCAGCTTGTCCCGGGAGGTCGCGCCGCGGCCAGGCCCCAGAACGAAGCCGAGGTACTCCGCCGAGGTCGCGACGCGAATCACCCCCCCCCCCGGACGGCGCTGCCCCCGCCAACCGGCCCCGGAAGGCGTCGAAGGGCTCCAGGTGGAGCGGGGTGATCGTGGTCTTCCCCAAATGCAGGCGCATGCCGGATACAAAGGCGCACCCCTCAAAAATCCGCTCCGAAACGCGCGCGTCTCCCGCTCTGGCGTCCAAGGCCAAGTCGCCCGCGCGCGCTCGCAACTCGGCCGCGGGCAGGAGGCGACGTAAACGTCGGAGGAGGAGGTCCGCCGCCACCGCGAATAGCAGCGGCGAGAACGGACACCCCTGTCAGATGCCAGTCGCGATGTCGAACCCGTCGCGGCGTGCACCTCCGGCAACCGCCCGGCAGTGGCCCAGGAAGTAAATTGCCCGCACAAGTCCCAAGATGCAGTCAGGAAGCCCCAGATGCTCAAATAAGTCCAACGTGAAGCTGCGACCCACGATCGAGAAGGCCGCCTTGAACTCAAAAATTACGGCGAAGACATCGCCCTGCTCAAGTGCGGTTCGCTGCATCTCCAGATCTATGTCGATCACGTTCGCCAACATCGACCGCCCGCCGATGAAGCCGCGCTGATGTGGAGAAACCTATTTCGCCAATATTGGCTCGATCCGCCGACGCACTGCGCTGGCGAGGATACGTTTGTCGAAATTCGCGACCGTGACCGGCCGAGTATGCTCTGGGTCGCAAAACTCCCCCCATCGATCGTCGAAGCCAGACACCTTCCCAGGGATGAAGAAAAGCCAGCGACTCGCTGAAGGAGCCCTAGCCCCGCTCCAAGACGGCCAGGCCACCAGGCCGCGACATGCCTGGGAGTGCTCCGCGCAGGACCTGCTCAGCGAGAGGGCCGAGGGCCCGCCAAACGGCTGCGGGGATCCTGTCCAGGCCAGGAGCAGGCGGACCTGAGTGGGCAATCGCCTCCCGCACGCCCCGACGCGATGGGACGCGCCACGAGGACGAGGAAGGAAGGGGCGACCTCGATCTTGCAGGCAAGTCTTCCGCAATCCACCTCGCGCGAAGCGCAGAGTCCGCCGGGCGCGCCTCGAGCACCTTGGCCCAATGCTCGCGAAGATCGGCTGCCACATGGCGCCTGGAGATGCGCGAATGTCTGCGGCACCGAGTCGCCGCCAGGAACTTCCTCGCCCAGTAGCCAGGCGGCTCCACAGTCTGGAATTCCGAGCCCAGCGAACCGTTGCTTCCGCATCGGAGAGGTTCGGGACATCGTCCCGGAGCGCGGTGAGCTCCCACACGGCCTGGTCTCTCGCCAGAGCGACGGCGTGCCCTCGCACCGCCGCGAGGGCGCCTCCTTCCCGGAGGGAGGGGCAGCACGGGTTAAGGACGAGGTCGGCGAGGTAGGGGCACGACGAGATGCCCCTGCCGATCGCTGGAAACGGAAGAGTTCTCCACCACGCGAACGAAACGCATGGTGCAACCAAGCCTATCCTCGACCGCGCGCGCGGGGAACGCGCGCCCGTCGAAGGACATCTCAAAGCTGACATCCTGGATGGCCTGCTTCAGCAACGGGAGGTGAGCCACGTCCGAGAGAGGAGGAGCCGAGTCGACCAGGTCGTGGTATCGCGGATGACACCTGCTGGAGTCGGCCGCGCACACAGCCGCGGTTCTGCGGCCAGGCGGCGCTGGAAGAACTCTGCACGTTGATGTGAAAGATGAGGAACCCACTCTCGAACCACAGCCGCTATCTGCCTGTCAAGCAGTTCGCTCCCATGTTGGTGTAGATGCAGCCCAGACAAGACCGACAGACAGGCAAGACCGACGGCGGAGCATTCAACGCCAACACGCAGCGGCCCCCTGACTACTTCCCGGTGGTCTTGGCGGTGGCGCGGGCGCCCTTGGTCCTGTTCCGCTGGGCCAGGTGGCGCCGCGAACGGGCTCGGGCCAGCGGCCGACGTGCTGCCGACCCGACCCCACGCTGCAAATAACGCGCCCGAGTGGCGACGATCGAAAGGGAGAACGGCTTCGTTTCTTCTCTGGGGATGTCATCGGACGAGCTTCTCGAGTGTTATCCGCGGGGTCCGGGGCACCGCTTGGCCGCCGATGCGAACGCGTACGAGTTCAGTTTCACGCTCGAGCCGATCGAGTTTTTGGGGGACCTCCTCTCGCCCCGGGACCTTGACGAGAACGAGGGTTTCAACCTGTGCAGTTTTGGATGCATCGATTCTTTCTCTGGGGGGCCGGCGACGCACCAGTCGGCCTCTGTTTTGATCGAGTACGAGTCCAGTTTCACGCTCGAGACGCTCGAGTTCTTAGACGCGAACCTCTCCCCGCCCATCGGCTGGGCCGGGCACGAGGACTTCGACACGCATGACTCTTGGGACCTGCCGCCGGGTCGCGCTGACCCGCTCTACGGAGGTGGCGGCAAAGGCGGCAGCAGGACCTCGCAGCGGGCCCGGGCCGACAAGTCCCAGATTCAGGACCAGCTCATCGCCCTCGCGACGGCCGTCGCCGAGCTGCAGCGGGCACAGACGGGCGCCCGCACCACGCCGAAGGCTGGTCGTGCCGAGGCGCGGCCCACAAAGCCCACCGCCACGCGGCCTAGGCGCCAGAAGCGGCAGCGGGAGGACATCCCGATCGTCGCCAAGCTGCGTTCCCTGCTGTCTGTCGTGGACGGCGGCATGAACCTCACGCAGACCCACGTCATCTCCAAGCTCCGGGAGGTGATCTCCACCTTCACTCCGGGAGCATCGCCCTCGGCGCGGGGCGCGCCCGAGGCTTCAAGAGAAGAAAGAGCTGCCCCAGGTCCAGGCGCGCCTTTTTCAGGATCCCTGGGGACGGGCCAAGAACGCCACTTCCAGCGCGGTCCGGGCCTCCCTGGAGCAATCCACCGAGCCCCCGGCGATCCTGGCGGCCACCCGCGCGGAGCACGAGCAGCGCGAGCGCGCGAGGAAGGCCCCCGGGAACCACCAGAACATCACCTACGTCGTCTTGGACAGCAACGGCCCCGACTCGGTCCTCCTCGAGGGCCAGCGCGGCCCCCGCCCCGCCAAGGCCAACATCACCTACCTCAGCGAGTCCGCGCCGAAGTGCGCTGGGCCCCACGCGGCTATGAAGGATGACGAGCCCGTCCAGGCCACCAAGTTGAAGCTGGCAAATTTTCGGACCACGATCTCCGAGGAGTTCGCCGACGAGACCCTCTTCCACGTCGCCTCTGCAGAGCCGCAGACCACCCCCGCCCTTGTCCTCGGGAACGTCCTCGCGGAGCGCGTGCTGCGCACCCGCGGTGCCATCGCCTACGACGCGGAGATCACATGCATCGTCTCAACGACCGAGGCCAACGCTGCCGTTTTCTGGGCAGCAGCCCCACCGAGAGGTACCTTCACCATGCAGCAGGACGCCCCCATCGCCCAGCGCTGGCTTTCCTGGAGGGCCGACGAGGAGGACGAGGAAAGCACCCGCAAGCACTACGACCGTGTCTGCCAGCTTGCGCAGCAGCGGCAGGGCCACATGTTGCACCGCCCGCACGGCAAAGCCCAACTTGGAGTCGCTGGCGCCGCTGGGGTACATCCTGGAGAGGCTGATGCCATCAAATGGCATGTGCGTAACGCACCCGCGCACATGGTCACTGCCCAAGAATTCACCGCCTGGGCCACGGAGTGCGGCCTCCAGAACGTCGCCGACGCAGCCAGAGCAGGCGCCCGCGCGTGGACCTTCTTCGGGGGCACGCCAGCAGGCGTCGCGGCCACAGTCCACACCTCCAAGTCCGGGGCCGTCGTGTCTCGGGCGTTCTCGAAGAACGGCGCCCCCGCCAAGGCCGCCCGCCAGGCGACCAGAAAGGAGGCCCGCCAACGCTGGGGAGCTCCCAAGGCCTCGCCGCAGTACGACGCTGCTGTCGCCCCCCCGCATGCCGAGGAGGTGGCCGCCACCCCTGCAGACGCCCCTCAGGGCGCCGCTGCCGCCGCCGCCACCCAGGGCGACCCTGCGGGCGGGGCTCGCAAAGCTGGAGCCGCCCAGCACGCGGCGGCGCCCCCGAACAAGCACGCCAAGGGCGAGAACGGCAAGCCAGTCCCGGCTGGCCCGTCCGCCCCGCCCTCCACGAAGTTCTGCAACGTCCGAGCCTGCGGCGGCGGCGGCGACTGCATGCACATCGCCGTCGCAAAGCGGATGGCCGCCATCACGCCGTCCAAGAGCACCCCGACCGCCGACGACTTCGAGCCCGGCGGCCGGCCCCAGGGAAATCCCCGCCTCGCTGCGCAAGAGGAGGCCCGCAAGAAGACGTTTAAAGCCACCGCGGAGGACGCCGACAAGATCGGAAAGGGGCGCCTGCCTCCTCCCTGGCCGCCCGGCCGCTCGCAAAGCGGCTAAACGTCGACATCTACGCGCGGCCCCGCGCGCCGGGCGCGGAGCAGTGGGTGCTCTACGGCCGGGAGCGCAGAGGGAAGCTACGGAAAAAAAGAATTGCGGCTGAAGTTGGAGGACCACCACTGCGAGTGGCTCCAGCCGAAGCCGGACGAGCAGCACACGACCGAGTATCGGCAGACCCTCGAGCGCTGGCGCGAGAGGGCCCTGGGCTACCCGACCGCTGGCCTGCAGGGCACGGGCCGCTCGTTCGATCCCGAAGCCCAGCCAGGCGTGCGCAGCCCCGATGAGCGCACGGTTTCCTCCAAGGTCCTCAAGGGCGGGGGCATCCAGTACCACTACACGTGTTCTACATGCAGCACCCACCTGACCCAGTTCAGGAACTACCCATGCAGGGCCCGGCCCGCCACCATGACGCGCCTCTCCATGCCCACGGCGACGCGCGGAGAGGAGGCCGCCAACAGGGCCCACCAGGCGGAGAGCGCGGGCCGCAAGCGGTTCGCCAAGACCTACTCTGCCAGGCGGAAGGGGCCCTACAGGATTCGCTACGCCGACCCCGACCAGCGGAAGACGAAGCAGCTGAAGGACAGGCTCCGCTTCGCGAAGTACCGCGCCGACCCCGTTATCGGAAAGCGCATCGCCCTCCAGAAGCGCCTGGGCCGGGAGCGCCGCGCGGCGAAGATCGCCGAGAAGCGGCCCGCCGCGGCTCGCTGAAGGCGCCCACCTGCCGCAGACCCCCTGCACGGCGGGGGGGGCGAGAAGGGGGCGACGGAGCTGCAGGTCGCCACCCTCAACGTCACGAGCCTCCGGGCGGACCGCCTGGAGGAGATCTCCACGTTTCCTGCGCTTCGTAACGCGCATGCTTTATGTATCCAGGAGGTCCGGCTGGCCTCCGGCTAGCCCGCGCGGGTCACCAGACTCGCGCTCAAGCACGGCTGGCGCGCGGCCTGCTCCACGCCCCCGCCCAGGAACACAAAGGGCGCCGTTCAGCAGGGCGGCGCTGCCATTTTCTGGCGCCCTTCCCCTGGGCGCGTTGCTGTTCATCGAGCCGCTGCCCATCGTGAAGTTGCCATTCGCACCAAGCTAGGCGTTTTACATCTGGGCACGGGCCCGCCCCAGTGCGCCCCGACCCCTGGATGGAAGAAATCGTCAATTTTACGTCTACCGTGGCTCTTGGTACTCCGCCAGTGCCGCGGCGCATCGCTGGTGACTTGAACTGGCGCCCCTCTTACGTCAACGCGCTGCCGACGCCGCCACGCGTGCAGCAACTACGCCTGCGACCCTGGCAGGGACCTCCCCTACGCGAGCCGCGGGAGCCAGCATCGAGTTGAAGCTTGAGAGCGTCGCCTTCCTCCCGCTCATTCCTCATCACGGGCTGGTGATCTTCTCTGCGCAGGTCGCCGCCCCGTCGGCGCAGGCCACGCGCATGCGCCGCACTACACGGTTTACGCTCGACCCGGACACCATCTTGCCGGCGAGCGACACCGAGGAGCTGCAGAGCCACATGGATGCTACCCTGCCGGCCTGCCCAGCCGCCGCCCCTCTCCAGGAGAGGCGGGAGCGATGGCGCGCCCGGGCTGAAGGGGCACTGACAGCAGCTGCCCAACAGAGGCGGGCATTACAAGACGGGGCCGCTGAGCGCCCCAAGGGATCCCCCCCCCACCTCGCGCAGGGTGGCCACGACCCTAGCGCTGCGGCCCGCCGAGCCGATGGAACTGGTCCGCCTGAAGCGCCTTGGTCGCCGCGTTGCCCCACCAGCTCCGCGATTACGCAGACGAGATCACAGCTGGCCCTCTCCTGCGCCAGTACGTGGACTCGGCCCTCCGGGGTCGGTTGACCGCTGGCCCGGAATGCGCCGACGCACGCAGAGGCGCACGGGAAGATCTCGAAGGCCATCTCCGCGATCCAGCGGGACCTGCTCCGAGATCACCGCTCTGAGTGGCGCCGCCTCTCCCAGCACTTCACGAAGGACACGTGGCGGGCAGCCACTGCAGAGGTCCATGGGCCTTCCGAGTGCCCCAGCTTCAACGCCGAGGACATGGCGGAGGAGTGGAAGCGAGTGCGGGCCCCATCAGACCCAAACTACGACGAGCAGGCACGTGCGGCCAGGTGGGAGACGCCTCGGAGGCGCGCGAGCCCTTGCCGGAGACCGCCGACGACTACGACGAGGAGTGGCATCCTTCTTACGCCGACTTCCGGGTCGCCGTGCGCGAGGCCAAAGGCAGCGCGGGTTACGACGGATGGCATTCTAACGAGCTCAAGCTGATCTCCGAGTACTTCGAGTTCTTGCTCTTCGAACTCTACACGCTATGGCAGGACACCTGCGAGACCCTCCTGGTCGAGAGGCCCCCCACCGAGCTCCAGCACCTCCTCTTCGCCTGGCGGGTTGTTGGGGTGCCAAAGAAAGACCCGACGCAGTCCCGGCCCATAGGGGTGGGTTCTGTGCTCCTCAGGGCCTGGCCCACAGCTTGCGAGCCCAGCATGCCTACGCCACAGGACGCTCAGTCCGCCTGTAAAGCCAGCTCCACGGTGGTCCACGCCTGCTGCTTGTGGCTGCACGCTTACCAGCACGGCTCATTCGGACTGGAGCGTGACCTCTCCAAGTGCTACGACAACGTGCCGCACGCGGTGACAGGCGCGGCGCTCCGCAACGCCAAAACGCCACGCCGAGTGCGGGCGGTGACAAACGCTGCCTGGCGGGGCCCTCGGAGGTGCCAGCTGGCGGGAGAGCTGGCCAGCGAGACGCTCTGGCCTACGCGCAGCCTCGCTCAAGGGGACAGCACGGCGCCGAAGGTTCTGTGCCACGTGCTTTCCCCCTGGGAGATCAACGGCACCAAATTCCTGTTCATGGACGACAGGTCCGCCGTCTTCGATTCCGCCCCGCAGATTGAGTCGGACGCGCAGGCCACCAACGACTTCGACTCAGGCACGGGCGCTATCGAGAACGTCGGGAAGCGCCAGGTCTGGAAGCGCGGGGACGGGACGCAGATCGAGCACATCAGCATCCTTGCTGTCCCTGATGCTCCGGATGAGCCGATTACGCCTGCCGGGGGCTGGACCAAGCTCCGCAAGCGTTTGCACGCCATTCGAGGCCTCCCGGGAGGCAGCGAAGCCAGGGCCACGGCGGTCCGGGCCTACGCTAAACCGTTGTGGACTTCGTGTTCCCCGGTTTTCTCTCTGCCGCCACCCGACGTCGTCCCAGCAGCGATGTCAGCGGTGCTTTCGACGAGGTGCACCTGGCGGTGCCGAGGCCGTTTCTGGGCCTCGAATATCGACCTGCACCCCATCTTCAGCGCGGTGCTCACGGCCATTGATCGCATCACCACCTGGGACCTCCGCTGGAGTACACTCCTTGAGGTGAATTTCACGACGTTCTTCGATGCCATTGGCTTCGAATTCTTGCAGCACGACCCAGAGCGCGGAGTGCAGTTCTGGCGCCTGGTGGACGAGCCTGACGCCCGAGTTCGCCACTTGTGCGGGCGCAGACACATTTTCTGGAGCGACGGAGAGATGGTGCCGCACCTCCTTCGTCAAGTATGCCGGGTGAGAGCTCTTGCCCACACCTCCGCGTCTCGCCACGACTCGGAAGGAGTCGAACAGATCGACCTTGAAGCTTCCTCGACGCGAGCGTGGTCCACTTTCCAGGACTCGCTGGCCCTGGAGGACAGGATCCATTTGAAGATTTTTCGCTGTGGAACGACGCACAGCCAGACGAGAAGATGGAGCACCACCAGGCCAGATCTTACAGCGGCCTGCCCGTCCTGCGGGGTCCCCATAGACCGAGTGCGCGCCACTACGTGGCCGAGTGCGCCGCCCTGGCGGATTTCCGGCAGGAGCTGAACGACGCGTACCACATCCCACTTGGCTGGTGGGCACGCCAGCCGCGGGCGACGCTGAAGACGGGATGGATCACGTTCCCAGCTCACGCGTCCGCGACCCGCAGAGCGGAGCTCCAGGTGGCCGTCTGCCGCATGGGGCTCGTTGCCATGGCTAAGATGGCAGAGGATTGCGAGGCTTTGAAGAGAACCTAGGGCATCCGAACGACTTCGTCCCGATGTTCGACCTTTACGGCTTGTTATTCGACCTCCCCCTCTCCATGTTCACGTTCCCCCAGGTTCTAACGTTCGTTCAGTTGCTCCTGATGTACAACCCGCCCCCGCGGAGCATTCAACTGGGTGGTAGACGACCACGACCGCGTCTCCAAGGGCACTGGCCATACTGCTGGTGCTCGTGATCGCGCGGAGGAGGCCCACTGGAGGCGTCTCCTCCCGAAGTTTCAGGAGATGTTCCAGGGGGCGATGACCCACGACTCAGCCCTCGCCCGGGACCACCATGGTAGATCCGCAGGCCCCCTTCGGGGGGCCACCAGACTGCAGGCCGAAGTGTGCTGCTCCCTGCACCAGTTGCAGTTTAAGTCTCCAATGATGCAATCCTGCGTAACAGCACGTGGCTCCAGCTCGGGACAACCATGTGAGATACCCCTTTCTGGGTGACCTGGACATGTAAAAACGTGTGGCTCCAGCTCGGTGCTGGTATGTCCGATACCCCACTGGGTGGCCTGGACATGTAAAAATAGATGGTTCCAGCGAGGGACCACCATGCTAGATGCCCCTGGGTGGCCTGGACATGTGGAAACACGTGGTTCCACCTGGGGACGACCATGTTATATACACCCTTGGGCGACCTGGGCACGTTAATACAAGCACTTCGCATGAGACATCCTCTGAATCCTGGCCCCCAGGAAAGAAGCGTTTCGCTCAGGACATCCTCAACAGATTCTGCAGAACAAGCGTTTCGCTCGATACATCTGCAACACACGAAGATGTTTACCCTGTGTTTTGTCGATCAGAATTTCAAAAACCTCCGTTTCGCTCGGGACATCCTCAAAATCTAGTCCGCTAGTCCTACGCGATCTCGTCATTTATCATAGAATAATTCCGCCGGCCCTACGCAAGTCGAGGTTGGGTAAAACCAACTGGACAAAAACCCCTGGCCATTTGCGGGAAGAACTGCAAAACCTAAGCTTTCGACGTCCGCGCGGATTTGTTGAAGCGGCACTGGACCCAACTCCCCACACCCTTTCCTGGGCGCGCTCAGCGCACCGACGGCGGCGCCAAAAGCGCCGCCGGGGGTGTGTAGAGTGTCCAACGCCGACCCATGAAACCCATGTCCGCATCCGAAAGTTATCCGCCTACAGGCTGCGAAGGATAAGTTTCTGCACCCTGCGAGTGGTCCTGTTCCTCGGCTCCAGGACCAGTTCTCAGTGCAGTGCCCCCTTTCCAAGGCATCAGATGTTGTAGCCCCTAGCTTGCAAGTGTGAGACGACCACGACGACCACGACGACCACCACCACCACAACCACAACGACCACAGTAACCACCGACGACGACGACGACGACGACGACCGCGACAAGGACGACCACGACGACCACCACCACCACCGCCACCACCACCACCACGAAGACGACCACCACCACAACATTCGCAACGACAACGACCACGATCACCACAACGACGACGACCACCACCACGACCATTACCACGACGGCGGCGACGGCGACGGCGACGACGATGACGACGACGACGACGGCCCGCCTCTGGCGTCCACGAAGTCGCGGCCCGCCCTCGCGGTGCGGGCCTCGCGGAGGCGCGCCCGCAGAAGCACTCCGCCCGCAACCGCCGCCGCCGACGGCGACGACGGGGAGGAGAGGAGGAGGGAGGAAGGGAGGGAGGCAAGGATTTTTTGGATTGCGCGCGCTATGAACCTGGCGGCTGTCGCGAAAGAGTGGCGCTGCAACTCGCAGAAACTTTAAAGAACAGTCAGGCAGGCCGGCTGAACTTAAAAGCGGTGATCTGAACGGGCACCAAATGAGGCAAGGTCAGCACAGCACGAATGGACCCCCGCATCAGAATGGACGGGACGCGTCGAACCGAAGCAAGGAATCCGTACCTCCCTCCCTTCTCTCATGAAACCCCCATCCCCCAGTTGGTGGCGACGGACGGATCAAGACATATACTGCTCGCGTGCCTACCCTACACGGGCATTGTGGACGAGAGGCGGAGAGAGGGAATAAAATGAGAGAGGGAGAAAGAGGGCTGGGACACAGACCGAAATCCTCCTGCTCTCGTGACACGGAATAAAGCTTGGGAGAAGGCTGGGACACAGACCGAAACTCTCCTGCTCTCGTGATGTCGCGGCATCTCGTACCTGAGCGGGGAAAGGAAAACTTCGCACCCTCGCGACACGGACGAACGACGACGGCGGAGGCGAGCAGAGGCGATTACCTCCGCGCTAACCGAAGGAGGGGATGCGACGCATGCTACGGCAGCTGCTGCTCCTCCCCTGTACCTCCGAATCTTCTCTAATGAAACCCCCATCCCCCACAGTAGGTGGCGACAGACGGATCGAGACATACACTGCTCGCGCGCCGTGCTCTACACGGACATTGTGGAGGAAAGAGGCGGAGGGAGGGAAACAATTAGTTGGGACATGCGAGAGGGAGAAAGAGGGCTGGGACACAGACCGAAATCCTCCTGCTCTCGTGACACGGAAGAGAGCTTGGGAGAAGGCTGGGACACAGACCGAAACTCTTCTGCTCTCGTGATCAAAGTGTCTGAGCACAGACGTGCATTCATGATCCCATTTCACAAACATCGTGCTGAAGTTGACAAGTTGCGACGTGGCAGGAAGCTTACCATACTCAATGCTCAGACGCCTCACTCGGGGCCATCCGGGCTGTATGGAAGAAGATCCCGACGATCACCATCAGAGCGAGACACGATCTTCTGCTTCATATGGATGCCGATGGCCGTATATGCGGCAACCATGGCGGCCCTGGCAGCTTCGATGCCTTCTTGAACAGCGATCGCCTCGCCGATCAGCAGCAAGAAGGCCGGCTGCCACGTGCTGTAGCTCATGATGGCGGGGTCCAGCTTCACCACCAACATCTCGCTGAGCAGCGGTAGGGCTGGCTCCCACTGCTCGCCATGATGTTGGGCTCCAGCGTCACGACACACATCTCGCTGAGCAGCGACGGGGCCGGCTGCAACCGCCAGCGCTTCTCGCACGCGCTGACCGTGGTTCTGTGGCTCATGATGGAAAGCGTCAGCTTCACCACCGACATCTCGATGAGCACCGATATGGCCGGCTGCCACGTGATTTAAAAGCTCAGGATGTCGGGCTCCAGCTTCACCACCGACCTCTCGCGGAGGAGCGAGAGGCCTGGCTGCCACTGCTCGCCCTGCTCGCGCGCGCGGATCGGTATCCGGAAACTCTCGATGGCGGGCTCCAGATTCACCATCCACATCTCGATGAGTAGCGATCGGGCTGGCTGACACTGCCAGCGCTTCTCGCACACGCTGGTCGGGGTTCTGTGGCTCAGGATGGAAGGTGCCAGCTTCGCCACCGACATCTCGCTGAGCAGCGATAGGGCCGGCTGCCACGTGCTGTAGCTCATGATGTCGGGCTCCAGCTTCACCACCCACATCGCGCTGAGAAGCGATAGGGCCGGCTGCCACTGCTCGCCCTGCTCGCACGCGCTGATCAGGGTGCCGGAGCTCATGCTGGCGGGCTCCAGCTTCACCACTCACATGTCGCTGAGCAGCGATCTGGCTGGCTGCCACTACTTGCGATTCTCGCACGCGCTGTTCTGGGGGCTGTAGCTCATGATGTCGGGCTCCAGCTTCGCCACCCACATTTCGCTGAGAAGTGATAGGGCCGGCTGCCAATGCTCGCCCTTCGGGTAGCTTCCGCTGTCCCAGTGCCGCTGCGCGTCGCTGGGGCCACGCAGCGCGGCGCGCGGCCAGCGGACACGCAGCCGTAAGATAGGCAGCAGCTCTGACGGCAGCCTTGCTGGGCATCGCGGCGGGGGCCTCCGCCACGGCACCGGCCTCCAGCTTCGCGTCCGACGCGGGTACAACAGCAGCGTCAACGTCACCAAGTTGCCCGCACGGTGTGCCGACGACGTATCTGCTCACATCGTACAGCGGCGGCGGCGGCTAGGCGCGCAAGGCCACGGCCGGCGCCACAGCGGGAGGAGCGCCAAGCGGCGGCGCCGGCACGCGGCGAGCAGCCAGGTAGCTGGAGGCACCAAGATACGCCGCCCGAGCGCCACGCTCCGTATCGAGCACGGCGGGAGCTCCAGGGGTACAGCACGAGCAAGAAGACGTAGAACATGATCCTGGCCGAGAGCGGGAGAAGCTGCAGCAGCAGCGTCGGGACGATCTTGGGCGGGTTGCGCAGGCAACACGCGTGGCGGCAGCAGCACCGACGAAACACACGGCGAGGAGGTCGGCGTAGCACTGGGCAAACGGGCGGCTGCCGCAGCCGCAGGGGCGCTGATCGCCTCGAGCCCGGGTGACTCCCGGGGTGCAGCACCAGCAGGAAGAAATGCATGTTTATCTCCGCGGACACGCTCGGGTCCAGCAGGGCCACGACGCACGACGGCGGCCACGTCGCTCATACGAGGCCGGCATCCGACTCTGGCCGCATAGCCGAGCCGTCGCGCAGCTGCACGAAGCGTCGGCCTCGGTCGGCTGCAACGCCGTCCGGAGAGGTCTCGCGGCGGGCGGCTGGCCTGCGGCTCGCCTGGCATCGGCGCCAGGGGCAAGGCGAGGCGGCCTGCGCGCATGGCAGCTGTCCGCGGGCGAGGCTCGCAGCGCGCGGCGGTACCTGGTACCGCGGGCACTGCACCCAAAGCCTCGACCCGGGACGGCGGCTTCGGAGGCAAGGAGGGAGGCAGGAGGGGGAGGAGGTGGGAGGAGGGAGGAGGAGGAGTAAACTGCCATCCGCAATATTTCGACCTGTGTGCGACGTCCCCAACTAATTCTCGCTCTGCTCAGCATTTGCAAGATATGGGTCGTCCTGCGGATCATTATCACCTCCATCACACCATCCCCACGGACCTCTGCGCGCATGCTTTGCGCCCTAACGAGCTACCCTACAGTTCATGGTCTCTCAGCCTGTCATCCCACCGCCGCGTGCTGAGGTCTTTGTTGTGCTTGCCCCTATTCGCCTGAGTCGGATGTGCTTGCCGCCGCGCAATCGCAACGATTGTACATCTTATGCCCACAAAACGAAGCATGTTGGACCCAGGAAACCGGAATGGGATTGAGAACTGCGAGTATGGAGACGTTTCTAAGGATCTCACTTGGGCGATGGGCAATGGCAATGCTGAAGATATCGATGGTGATACTGTGCCAGGGGCTGTGTTGTGCTCCGTTGCGCTGTGCCGTGACGCACAGTGAAATGCCAGGGGAAGCGCCAAGGGACGTGCCACGGGTCACGGGACGCGCCGCGGGACATGCCAGGGGGACGCGCCAAGGGACGTACCATGGGACGTGCCGTGGGGACGCACCACGGGACATGCCAGGGAGACGCGCTACGGAACGTGCCAGTGGACGTGCCACGGGACGTGCCAGGGAACTCACCGCGCGACGTGCCAGGGGGACGCGCCACGGCACGAGCCAGGTAACGTGCCAGGGAACGTGCCAGGCGACGCGCCAGGGGACGTGCAAGGGGACACGTCAAAGACCGTGCCACGGGACGCGCCAGAGATGCGCCAAAGGATGCGCCGCGGATCACCTGGAGCCTCCTGGGATCTCCGCGCCCCGTTATTAGTCGAGATGTGAAGCGCACCGCGATCCCTCATACATTACGCTGCGTCCGCGCTCCGTGGGCTACGATCCATCGTACATTCCGCTGGGCTAGCATTTTCAGCGCCACGATCACTAGTAAGTGATGCTGCGTCCGCTCCCCAAAAGTCACGACCCCTCGTCAAGGACACTGCGTCCACGCTCCCTGTGCCACGGCCCCTCGTAAATTTCGCTGTATTCGCGCTCTCAGGGCCAATATGATACCTCGTAACAGGCGCTCGATCCCTGGTAAAGAACGCAGGTATGCCGAAGGTATGCCGAAAGTACGCTGGTACGTCGGACACACTCGTTGAAGGTACGCCGAAGGTACGCTGCAGGCACGCGATTTCTGTATTGCTTGTGTGAGAAACGTTATTGAAGATACGCCGCAAGTACGCGTGTCAAAATCAGCGACTATACGATGAAAGTACGCCGAAGATGGACAGGAGCGGGGCGAGAGGAGGAAGGGAGTGGGATAAAAAGCGGGGGGCAGCGGGGGGGGGAACTGGAGGAGAGGCGGCCGGGGAAGGAGGAGGAGGAGAGGGAAGGGGGATAAGGAGGAAGAGGAGGAAGAAGGCTGGACTGGAATCAGTAAGGCTGACGGGGGTCGTGCGGGCGCGCGGAGGAAGAGGAGGAGGAGGAGGAGGACGAGGGGAGGGGGAAGGGACAGAAGGTTCGGGCGCGAATACACCCCTGCGAACCTTATCAATTCATCCTCAGCCCTCTCTCTCTCTCTCTCTCACCTCCCTCCTGCCTCTCTTCTCCTCTCTAGCTTTCTTTCTCGCTTCCGTGTCACGCGGCGGTCGTCTTCCCTTCAATGGGAGTCCCCTCCCAGTCACGAGATGGCTGATGGTGGTGGTGCTCGGCGGGAGGGGGGAGGGGCACCAAACAACAAAACACGATCGACCCACGAACCCGGAAAGGAATATAGAAACGTAAGGTATGGTACCGTTTCAAAGACACCTGATTGGGCGACTGGCATTTGCAATACTGAGTGCTTTCATCTTGACGTACCGTGCCAAGGGCTGTGCTGTCCTGCGACGTGCTGAATTGCGATGTGCCATGCCGAGATTGTGCTCCATAGCGCTGTGGATCAAGTCCTCCTTTGCATCCGAGTCCTGACCGAACTGATCTGGAACTTCAGCTCGAGCTGCCTGAGCACATAGCAACCACCCCAGAGCTAGTTGAAATGGAAGCGTGGGACGGTCAATCAATTCAACCTCAGAATCCGGCTCAGCTCCGAAAAGGAACGACACGGACGGGCGGAATTGGACTGCGATGCGCTCTACCGCGGCAAGCATGTCGCTCGAGACATCCTCGACAAATCCTCATGTTAGATATCCACCTGGGCGACCTGGACACGCGAAAACAAGCGTCTCGCTAGAAACATCGTCAACATGTCCTCATGTTATACATCCAACTGGGCGACCTGGACACGTGAAACCAAGCGTCTCGCTCGAGACGTTCTCAACACATCCTCATGCTAGACATCTGCCAGGGTAAGCTGGACGCGTGAAAACAAGCGTCTGTCTCGAGACATCCTGCCCAAATCCTCATGCTAGACATCCGCCTGGGCGACCTGGACACGTGAAAACGAGCGCCTTGCTAAACACATCCTCATGCTAGACATCCGCCTGGGCGACCTGGAAACATCCGCAACACATCTTCCTGTTAGGCATCCGCCTGGGTAACCTGGGCACGAACAAAACAAGCGTCTCGATAGAGACGTTCTCAACAGCTCCTCATGCTAGACATCCGCCTGGGCGACCTGAACACGCGAAAACAAACGTCTGTCTCGATACATAATCAACACACCTTCATGCTAGACATCCGCCTGGGCGACCTGGACACGTGAAAACAAGAGTTTCGCTCAAGACATTCTCAACACATCCTCATGCTAGACATTCGCCTGGGCGACCTGGACACGTGCAAACAAGCGTCTCGATCGAGATGTCCTCAATACATCCTCATGCTAGACATTCGCCTGGGCGACCTGGACGCGTGAAAACAAGCGGCCCGCTCGAGGCATCATCATCAAACCATCATGCTAGAAGTTTCTACCTGGGCAACCTGAACACGCGAAAGCAAACGTCTGTCTCGAGACATCCTCAACACACCTTCATGCTAGACATCCACCTGGGCGACCTGGACACGTGAAAACAAGCGTATCGATCGAGACTTCCTCAATACATCCTCATGCTATACATCCACCTGGGCGACCTGGACGCGTGAAGATATGATCGATCCACGCACCCGGAAAAGGAATAAAAAAATGTAAGGCATGGCAACGCTTCAAAGAAACCTGCTTGGGCGACGGGCAACTGCAATGCTGGGTGTATCCATCTTGATGTACCGTGCCGAGGGTTGTGCTGTGCTGCACCGTGCTGAATTGCGGTGTGCCATGCCGAGATTGTGCCATGTAGCGTTGTGGATTGAGTCCTCCTTTGCATCCGAGTCCTGACAGAACTGATCTGGATCTTAAGCTCGAGCTGCCTGCTGCCCCAGAGCTAATTGACAGGGGGGCATGCTAGGAGGACGCGCCGCGAAACCCCAAGGGACGCGCCAGGCGACGTGCCAGGGGACGTGCCATAAGGTTGCACCGCGGGACGTGCCAAGGGGACGCGCTACGGAACGTGCCAATGGACGTGCCACGGGACGTGCCAGGGGACGCGCCGCGCGACGTGCCAGGGGGACTCGCCACGGGACGCGCCACGGAAGGTGTCAGGGAACGTGCCAGATTGCAATGCTGAATGTATCGATCTTGATGTACCGTGCCGAGGGCTGCGCTGTGCTGCGCCGTGCTGAACTGCGATGTGCCATGACACGGTTGTGCTCTAGTGTTGTGGATCGAGTCCTCCTTTGCATCCGAGTCCTGACCGAACTGATCTGAATCTTAAGCTCGAGCTGCCTCAGCACATAGTAGCTGCCCCAGAGCTAATTGACAGGGGAACATGCCAGGAGGACGCGCCGCGGAACGTCCCAAGGGACGCGCCAGGCGACGTACCAGGGGACGTGCCATAGGGACGCACCGCGGGACGTGCCAAGGGGACGGGCTACGAAACGTGCCGATGGACATGCCACGGGACGTGCCAGGGGACCCATGTGTTTCAAGGCTTGCCCCGCCCTGGGGCGTTAGGAACCCATGCGTTTTCACGTATGTCACGCACTGGGGCGTTCGGAACCCAACTTGTTTTCACGCTTGTCCCGCCCCAGGAACCATGTGTTTTCACGCTTCTCGAGCCTCATTGGGCGTCCTGGGGGGCGCGGGGAAGCGAAAAGCGCTCCCCGAATGCATATCCCAATGCACAACATATGTAAAACAAGCATGTCATCTGAGACCTCCTCTGAATTCTGGCCCCCAGGAGAGGAACAATGCATAACACAAAACACGCGTTTCGCTCGAGAAAATCTTAACATATTCTGAAAAACAAGCGTGTCGTTCGGGACATCCTCAAAAATAGAACCATCTATCCGCCGGCCCCCTTGTGGGGCCACCAGGCTGCCAGGCGCGTGATTCGCAGTTTCCTGTACCAGTTGTAGTTTGTAGTTTCCAGTGTTACAGTTCTGCTTCTTGCTGGTTACTGTAACTAGTTGACTTCTTGCTGGTTACTGTAACTAGTTGATTGACCGCGCGAGGGGGGGGAGGCCCAAACGGAATTTTTAGCGTCCCCTGGGCGCGTTGTCTGAATTGCTGGGGGGGCTCGAAATCGACACCCCTCACGCAGATCCGCGGGGTCAGGGTCCAAAAACACAGGGAGTTGC